TTTTTTCTTTTGTGCCTACTTTATTTAGGCGAATTATTATGTGTCTAGGAGTTGGTCTTCTCATTTGTTGTCTTGCGGGGGTTCTCTGAATCTCTTGTGTTTGAATTTTTGTATCACTGATTAGATAAGGGAAATTTTCTTGAATGATCTCGTGGAAAGTTTGTTCCAATGTGGTCTCTGTTTCTCTTTCTGCCTCAGGGAGTCCGATTATTCTTAGGTTAGGCCTCTTGAGGTAGTCACTCATCTCTTGAAGGTTTTGTTCTGTCTTTTTTAGCTTATTTTCTGTGTTTTTAAGAGTTTGGGTTATTTCTATATTTTGGTCCTCAAGCTCTGAGATTCTTCTGCTTGGGTAATTCTGCTTTCCATGCTTATCAATTTGTTATTTATTTCATTCACAGTATTCTTTATTACTGTTATCTCAGATATCAGCTCCTTCCTAGTTTCTTCTTGTGTCTCCTCAATTCTTTTTAATCTCTCCATTATTGTTTTGATATCTACATTTGCATTTTGAGACCCTTCATTCTGGGACTTTTCATTGTTTGTATTCCAAAGTCAGTTTTCTCAGTGTCTGCTCTCCCAGGCATCTGGGAGAGACCCATACTCTTCTTTTGGTTTTTCTTCATTTCTGTAGATTTTTCTCCCTTTACCCCTTTCCCTCCCCCTCTTCAATTCTGTTTTTGAGGGAAGGTGGGGTTGCTTTTATTTCTCTTCTGCAATGGCCTGTTCTTCCTTATGAGGGTCTTCTGGTTTTGTTCACTTTTCCCTCTGCTTTACAGTCTGTCTATTCAGCAGTTTGCAGTCTTGGTCCCATCTATCAGGTGAGAACAAGACACAGGGCTGGGAAGAGGTGAAGAAAGACACGTAAGAAAGAGTACTGATAGCTACATAGTACTAAAGAGTACAGTTCACCTATGCCGTTGCCATCTTGCCCCGTCTCCCCTTAACATGGGATTAATGATTGAGACTCTATTTATTCACAGATGAAGTAGTTCCCACTGACCTACCTCCTCTGGCAACCCGGGCATGCAGTATTCTAGAGAAGGGACTAATGAGTGCCTGCTCGAGTCAGAGCGGTGTAGGTGCTGTTGTCCACTGGTGAGTGACCTCCTGACCACGTCTCTGCACATCCACGTCTTGCGCCAGCCTCCACAATCAGGTTGAGGCTTCATGTTGGCCTGGCTTGTATGTGGGCTTCCCACAGGAGCTTTCGTGTGAAGAAAGGGATTAAAAACTAGCTCGGAAGTCACTGCCCCAAGAGCGAGTCGATTGGGGCAGCTCTGGGGGGATGACAATGCCCTCCAGTGGGCGAGTGGTTCTCTCCTGTTCAGGAAGACAGGGGAAGCAGTCATGCTGTGGACTGAAACTGGCAAGAAGTGAAGCTCTTATCCAAACTAAAGACACAATACAGCACAAACAGACATTAACACTTCCGGGCTGCATGGTCAGGGGTCTTTAGGAAAAGGACGGTTATTCCTTTCCCTAAAGTTCCCAGCTCTGTCTCTCATCATCTCTTAAGCCAAGTAGCCACATCTGCTGAGCATTTCCAAGGTCCCAGTCCCTTCTCTGGGCTTTGGGGCTCCAAGCGTGAGCCAAAGGCAATTCATCAAGAAGCAAGTAAACAACACATAACCAGCGTCAAAGCTGCACCTTGCCCTCGCTTTCCTGGGTCATCCTCTTGGTCACCAAATGGCTTCCTGGTCACAGGTCATCTATACCACCTGTTTCTACTCCAAACTGAAGGTTTCCAAGCTGCGTCTCTTCTCCACTAACTGCTATTGGTTGGTGTCCTTTCCATCTGGGTCCAGGCTCCCCACTCTATAAGCCTCGGGCCAGAACCGTTCTCCTGGAGATAACTGAACTCTGAGCACAACCAGCAGCCCCTGAATCCCCCCTGCTTTGCATCCCACGCTGGTCCTTCTCTGGAATCCACTCGCCGTCTGTCCCTCTGTCACTCTGTCTTTAGTCATCTCTGTAACCGCTTCTCTGGCCTTCATCAGTTCTTCCTGGATCTTCCATGCCTGATTCTCTCCTCAGTTCTCTCTCCTTATTCTTTCTCTCCTTCCTTTTAATGATATTAAGAAAGGTGATTATCTGCCTGTATATGTTTTCCCTCTTCATCAAGAGTCAAAGAGGCAGGTCTGCAAGACTCTGTTTCACCCCAACAGTTCAACTTTTTTTTTGTCTAGAGGCAGACTTGGCGCAGCAGAGATGTACTATAAATGTAGGCGCAAGGCATTTGTTATAGTTCAAAATAATGTAAGTCTTTCAGTTACAGGCAAATTAGATTCCGAACTCCCCTGCCATTTCCAGATGTTCACTCTCAGATGTGTTTCCATTCACCTCAGTTGCTCATGGTGCAATTACGATAGTTGTGGAGGGGACTTTGAAACCCCAGGGTGCCCTTTCCTGTGACCATAAAAGGATCCATCTCCCACCACTCCAGTCTCATGCTAATCACACTGTTGAGTCAAAATGAGTAACACTACATGTAAAATATGAACTCCGTGGAATGAAGGTCCAGCCAGTTCATTGACCAGTCGCCGCATACTCACATGCACAAAGAAGCTGCCTCTCACCATGCTTGGAGTGACTGAATAGGACTTTCACGTCACGAAGAAGCCTGGCATTTAATTCTGACACCAGGAGTGTCCATGCATCTGACTTCTGTCCGAGGCTGAGTCCTGGGACTGCCGTGGATAGCAGAACGCCAGGAATTTAATGCGTGTCCTGATGTCCTTCTGAAAAGTAGAGTGGAGCCCCAAACTGTGTCTGTTTCGCAGATATGCACCCATTTCAAAAGCCCTATCCTTCACCCCAGGAGACAGGCCTCACCGCATGCTCAGGCGGTAATATTCCCAATTAAGGGAGAGATGCAAAGGTGCCTCCTCCTCCTGATCCCTTGTCTCTGTCCTTCCACCAGGGCAGAGACCTGAGCGACAATGCCCACTTCTTCCTCTTCTCTCCCTAGGCAATCATGTGGTGCTTGTCACTATGGCGCCCAGCACCGTGTTTCTGGCTGGGGGTGTTAAGCATTTCCTTAGGGTTTGTAGGGAATTGCTGAAGGAGGACAAGATTACACTCATCTTAGTGTAGAAAACGGGCTGGAGGATCAAGACTCGACGCAGGGAACCTGGGCAGGTGGCCAGGTCCTGGGAGGGAGACGGGGCTGTGATGAGTGGGGAGGCTGGACCTGCTTGAAAGGACCTAACAGGAGGCCGGAATCAGGGGTCTGGATCCCGGCAGGGGGGATGGAGGAGTGAGTGGAATTAGGGATGACCCCAGCTTCTCACGCAGGCCGTCGAGGGAACTCGTGCAAGTCCCAGGAAGGGAAAACGTGAGACACCGAGGAAGGAAGAGAGTGCCCCCAGCTTTGCTCATGGGTGGCGTGGAGAGAAGGCCATCAAGGAGACTCAGAACTCCGTGTCCTCTTCCCCCTCCAACTCACCCATGCTCCCACATACAACCTGGGGAGCCATCGTGCAGCATGCCACACAGGGACATCTAAAAGCAAGTCTCATCTAGAAAACGTGTGGCATCAGCAAGGTTGCTAGGATGGCAGTCCCGGGGGACATGCAGTGCCAGGTCATATGGTGACAAACAGTCAGGCACCCAGGCCCACTCCACCCTCTACAGACTCAGTGCTCCAACTGAATCAGACCACTACCGTCAGTTTTTCTTAGTTATCCTAAATTTTCCAACCTTCATATCTTGTTTTTATCTGCTTTCGCTGCCTCGTGGGCCTTTGCTTTTCAAAATTCTATTCAGTTGCCAAATTATATCTCAAAATGTAAATCTTGCTCTGCCCCCACTCAGAAATCAGGGAGCTATTTCATGACCCTTCTGCGCCATCTGTATCTGAGTTGTTTCTCCATGTCTGTGTCATCCAGCCTGCTTGTACTCCTAGCCAGAAGCTTGGTTTCCTGTCGTGCAGCCATGTCTCCCCAGCTCACCCACATAGGCACCTCAGTGCCACACTTGATATGCCCATGTGCATGAGTTTCATTTCCTGAGTGGACTTGAAGTACATGAGAAACAGTGAATAATGACCAGCATACAAAATGATATTTCAAATTACACTTTACATCTCGAGTTTCTGTTATACTAGTATGTAAATTGATACAATTTACTCTTTGGGGGCAATGACATATTCGGCATGCATTGAAGACAGTAATTCATACCTAATAGACTATGTCAATCTGTGAGTGATCCCAAGGGATGTGGCGGGAGAGGCAATCATTAGCACTTAGGGTACCATCTCAACCACTCACCTCGGTGCAAATGCAGTGTTCACACAAATCCCACTGATAAAAAGAAACAGGTGCATATTTTCGTTTAACCCTTTGTTATCTTGTCTTGTGTATAATGATCTGCAGAGCCATAAGAAACTGATATCTGCAACCAAATGGCCTATCCAACTATGATGCAGATGGGTAAGAATGGAGAGCTGTCAGGTGGCAAATGCAGTCCTTTGCTGTGGGAGAAGTGTGTCCCTAGCAGCTACTTGAAGTTGAAGCAATGTGTATGGGAAGGAAAGTGCTCTCAGCTCTAAGTAAGACTACTTGTAGACTTGGCCTTATCATGCCTGAGGGCGTGGCTATTAATCATCACAAGCCATGGATTTTGTTGGTTCCTATCCAGTGAGGGACCTTCTTTGTGGATGTCTCCACTGTGGTTTTCAGCTGTTCTGTTGATGAGATATGTTAGTGGAAGTCTGCATGGATTGCTCTTGGTTTCTTGGAGTTTCCTTATTTCGGCCTTGATATGCAAAGGTAGCTGTCCAGAATTTCTGAATGGGGGCCTGGGACCAGCAGTCTGGCCTGCAGGCGAGGCGGTGGGATCCACAGCTGTGTTCGAATCACAAGCAGACTGTCCTTCCTACGCGGTTTTAGGGTGTCTTGACCGTCTTTGAGTCAAATAGAAAAAATAGAAAAGGAAAAGGTGTAGTCAGTAGCAGAGCTGCATTAATCTTTGTTACTTTTCTATTTTTTAGGTCAAAGAGAGATCTTCAAAGACCGAAAATGAGGTTCACATTGACTTGCCGGTGCTTGGCACTGTTCCTCCTTCTAAATGTGAGTAAAATATAATCACTCTGAGTGATGTTAACTAAGAATGCTAAGTAAAGAAGAGTGACTGAGTGTGACTGAACTGGTATTTGCGTGGGCAGGGCCAAAGTCAAGTTCCTCAAAATTATTATTTTTCTAAATATTTTTTGTTAACAAATCTCCCCTCTGAACGTTCACTGTTAGTGCTAGAACTGTGAACTTTTTTTGTTTGTAAAACTTCTGTATTAATTTGAGACATATCTATATTGTCTTAGAAATTAACATGGAAGGCTGACAGTGTTCTCAGATAAAACACTTTTCGTGTCTGACATGTAGATGTGAAGCATAGTTTCTGGGCTGTTCAATCCTTTTAAAACATCTAAACTCTCTCAGTCTGGTTACTGATTTCAAATGCATTTTCACCAATTGCTGACTACGGATCTTTAAGTCTTCACATACCACCATCATTCCATGACTCTTTCCTTTTAAGCTGCATGTTCAATTTTTATAAACGTATATTGTTTTATTCCTAAAAGAGGGAGCAAGTCATCAGAAGCAGGTTCATGTTAGGGACCTCCATTTCACTTGGAAAAGCCACCTTTACGTCAGCTGCAGTGGCACAGAAGGGGGGAGTCAGTGCACATAAGTCAGGTTGGATCTGTCTTGCCCCTGGTCCCTTTCACCATATCAGAATGACATTTGCCAACGAAGGATGTCTAGCAACCAAGGTCACACGGTACCTCACACTGTCAGGCTGACCCCAGCAAAGCTTGCAGAGGGCTCTAGACATCTCTTGTCAATAATGTGTAGTTACAGGTGACAGGTCCTCTAGGCTGTTTTCCCTCAAGTTAGGCATGAACGTTATGGAAAAATGACAAATATTCCATAAATGTTAATTTCCCTTTGTAAAGGAATGTTTTGGGAGGTGATGTATACATCAAATAAATAGTTTATGGGAATGGTTGTTAATGCAATCCTTTTGCACCTATTTAGAAAATGAGTATAGTGTATTATGCTACTCTGTCATTATTTTAACGTATTAAATATTTCTTTAGATAAATTAGAGTATAATTTTCTAAAAGTAATCCAGTATTTAGAAATGTGGGCTACTTTATGCCTTTGGAAATATAATAAAACACTTAAATAGCAATATGTAGAAACTAATAGACTATTTTAATTTGTGAATGCCCAAGCCTTAAGTGGTCTTTTACAGATCCAGCAGTATTAGTAAATATTATACATAAATTGATATTATTTTTTCATAGCTTGAAATCCTAAGGGATCGAGAATATGTGAATTTTTTTATTTATGTAAATCCACATTTTAATTTTTTAGAAATAATTTTGTCTTTCATAAAGCATATAATTATATTGGACATGATAGCAAGAAAAACGAGACCGCTAGATACTAACAGAAAACTTTGAGGATTATTGAATTACCTTCTTTTACTATTAAGACTACAGACAATTTTTGGTCTTAAAAACTAAAGCAGGTCATTATTATTAAAATGTTTCCACCTAATATATTTTGCAATTTAGATATGAAGCGTTTGCATACATTTGCATGAGCCAGCAGAAGTGTGTGAGCCTCCTTGCCAGCAGCCTTAACTCAATGGGGCCTCCGTGGTGGGTACTGTCTTCACTGTGACAGAGAGAAGTTTTCCTCTCTGCCCACATTTGGATTATATATTCCAGGGGTCCTCAAACTTTTAAAACAGGGGGCCAGTTTTTTTTTTAAACTATAGTCCGCCCCTCCAACGGCCTGAGGGACAGTGGACTGGCCCCCTGTTTTGAAAGTTTGAGGACCTCTGATATATTCACTTTGGAGGATTCATTCATGAAACAAAATTTGATTCATCAATTTTCTTCAAAACGTGCATTATGTTCCACATGGATGCTTCTCAGAGAAACGTAATATTTTTTAATGACAGTGTCCTTAGTTAATCTAAAACATCACTTCCTAGATAGTGTATTATTGTGCAAAAACATGATTTGCTAAATCCTACCTACTTGATTTCCGTATGGCATTTAAATTACTAACTTGGGCCACTACCACCCCTGAGCGTCTTTCAAGAACTGTAACCTCCCGGCCCTGGGCTCTCCCTTCTCCAAGGTGCACAGAGGCTTAGAGCAGGGGTTGGTGCAGAGTGAGCTCGCAAAACACACTGGCAAGGATGACAGCAACTGTGGGGACATAAGCCCGGCTCTCCCAAGAAGTGTGTTGCTGTTTTTGCTGTTGTCATTTGTTTGCCTGTGTTCCTAGTTTGCTTCGAACTTATGACATATGAAGAAGTTTTGTTGTTTGTATGAGGCAGAAATAGAAAGTCCTTCAAACCCTGACTGGGCATCTCATCTGAACCAGGGCCAGCATTTTAGAGAGTTACGCTTTATCCTGTGCTATTTTGGAAAGCACAGGTGACTGAAAAGCGCAAAAAGTCTCACATGTTATGTTATCAGCATGAAGAATGATGGCACGGGAATCCCATGGGCAGCAGCGCCTCAGGGATTCTGGGTCCGTCCTCTTTTTAGAGCAGTTCTGTCCCTGGCAGTCTGTGGGAGGTTCCCCCAGCACAGCGGCCTGGGCCCATACAGTCAGTGGACCTGAGATGCTACAGAGGGGGCCATTCCTCAAATTTCCGGAAAAAAGGCCCAGTGATTTTTCTGCCCCTGTACCTCTAGAAATGACCTGTCCTCCAAAGCAGGCTGCTTGTCCCACATCAGGACAGAGATTGCATGAGCTCATGGACGTTCCTAACCAGCTGGATTTCCACTGAGCTCCATGACCAGTGTGGGTGTAAACTAGAATGTAAGCTGCATGAAGGCAGGGGCCTTGCCCATCTTGCCCACCGCAGTCTCCAGAACCTGGAACAGAGGCAGGCATGTGTTGGCTGCTGACGAACGCTGTTAGTGGCAGCCTGGCAGTCGTATGTGTGGCGTCATTTGCTGGAGCCCTTAGGAGTGACGTCACATATACAGCAGCTGAACTGCCACATGCGACCCCAGTCATAAGTGTGTGTTATTGTTACACAGTTGTGATTGTATGGTTGGAATTCTATACATGTGATACTCGTGTATCTGTATCTCTGTGTGTCTCTTTCTGTGTATCTGTCTGTATACAGTCGGCCCTCTGTATCCGTGGGTTCCGCATCCATAGATTCAATCAACGTCGCTTAGAAAATATTTCGGAAAAAAATTACATCTGCACTGTTCAGTGCAATACAGTACAGTATAGATTTTTTCTTGTCGTTGTGTCCTAAGCAACATGCTATAACAACTATTAATACAGCATTTACACGGTATTACAAGCGACCTAGAGATGATTTGAAGTACACAAAAGGATGTGCATAGATTATATGCAAATGCTATGCCATTTTATATCAGGACTTGTGCATCCTCAGATCTGGGTATCCACAGGAGGCCTACGGCCAATCCCCAGTATACTAAGGCACAACTGTATACATAAACAGAATGCCCAGTATGTATGTTTTTCTAGGAAGAAAGCCATTGAGACATTCATCTACCAATGGGAAAATTTCATCTTCAGTGCTCAGCTATAAACCTGGCCAGGAACCGACGCAGATGGCTACGGCTCATCTAACTACAGAGGTTCTGAGTTCTCATTCCTTCAGTGTTGAAACAAACTCTACTGAACCAGACTTCAAATGAAGTTCACTGGAGTTTGTTTCAATATTGCAAGAATGATAAGACTGAAGCTACTTTCATCGGCACGAACAGCACCTCCTTGTACTCAGATGGTCATTTCTCTGTTGCCACTGATGTTAAAACTACATTCAACCTAATAATGATGCAATAGAAAATGCATGTGTCGGGTTTCCACTTGATACCCTTAGACATGCATTTTCGTCACGGCTTCTATGAATGTTTAATTAGCACAAGGAACATTTTTTAGTTGGCTGTCAGCCATATAAAGATCAGAATGTGACTTCTGGAAAGAAAGCCAGCCTTAAGCAAGATAGTTCCGAATGTCTAACAAATCGAATACAAGTGACAGATAAGATGTATAGATGCATCATAGTCCATCTTCTAATTTGATTTGAAAATGGTCCAGAAATTTGCAATATATCACATGATAATTCTTGCATTAACTGAAGAGTCTAAGAACAGAACCATAGAGGAAGAATGTAGAATAAACACATAAGCTGAACCAGTTATTCTCCCTATTGTGAGGACATCATGATCCTTCCTTTGGTGGTTACATATATCTAATTGAGTTTTTAAAACACACACACACACACACAACACTCATACAAATGTAAGCTAGTAAGTTTCAAAAAGAAGCCTTCAAAAAAAATTTTTTTTTAATTTTCACAAACCATGTTTCAATTCCTAGGAACATCTGAGAACTTTATGAGTGACGATTTTTTATTTTTCACAGTTTCTGGTGTCCTAAAATATTTTGTTGGCATTTCTTGCTAGACTGTAAGCTCTCTGAGAGCAGGACCCGTGTGTGTTTTATTCAGCACCATATCTTCAGCATCTGGCATCAAGGTTGGTGAATATTTGTTGACTGGTCAGAAAACCAGTGAGGAAAGAATCATGTCAACAGCATTGTGTTCAGCTGCATTAGTGAAGGATTGCACATTTTTAGTCATTTTTGTGGGTTCATTAGTTTCTCTTCTGCCAAAAACTTAAGAATCATTAGAATTAGAAGTGGCCTGCATGGTCAAAGAGTAGCGTCAGCCTTATTCACAATAGCGCCCTTTGGAGCTATGGCCTCAACTTATAGCGGTAGTAAGTGTCCCCGCTTCTCCTGGCAAGTGATTCCGATACAGATGGCGGCTCCAACACAGATCCAGCCTGGAGTGTGCCTCTTTCTCTGTAAGGCTTTCCTTCCCAACACCTTCCTCTTCTCAGGGAACTGCTATTTTTTTCTGAGCTACAAAGGCTAACTGTCTGGGTCATTTGACTGGTGCCATCGTCCATGCCTCCTACTGGACACACCTTTGTGTTTTTATTGTCTGAAAAGGTGCTGGGAGTTGCACTTTCTTGTTCCAGCCCAGAGCAGTCTGGTCCAGCCAGGCCTTCAGCCTCTTGGACGCCCTCACCACCCCTCACCTGTGAACGTCTGGTCCCTGCCACATGAATTTTACTTAAACTCTCCTTTCCCAGCCTTCACGGCTCAAAAATCTGCAAAATATCTTGTCATATTATGTCATATTATCATGTGTTAATAACAGTAGCTAAAATGTATTGAATCTCTCATGTCCCAGGCACTTTATATTTGTTTCCTTATTTGTCTGCACAACATCCATAGAGGATAAATATTATCATTATTACTATTCTCATTTTACACTTGGAGAAACTGAGACCTAGAGTGGCCACTAAGCTGCTGAAAGTGACAAAGCAAGTTCCGCCATTTTTTGGCTCTAAGGCTCTGTGTCACCCACTCTCCTCTTCCTGTTTCCTTCTTCCCCTCAAGCTCATGCCCTCGGGGCAACAGTGTCCTCACCATGTCCCACCTCTTCCCCTGCTGGGCTTCAGGATTCTGTGCCTTCCCTTCCCTCCACCCCATAACCTCCCTTGCCCTCTGCCCATTCAAATGCCACATAGGTTCAGGGCCAACTCAGAGTCCACCTTGTGTCTGCAGCCAGCTCACTGACTGTACCCTGCACCCTCAGACCCTGAAACGTGACCATGTGGTGTGCTGTGCAGCTTGGTAGACTGCAGGTGTGTCACATAGGACCCAGACAGTGACACACACCGGAAAACAGTAGGAGGCACCCGGAAGAGCCACAGGCACACAGGTTGACCTCATTGGTAGGCTTTTGCTCTGGATACTGTGGGCGCACGGACAGGAGTGGGCACTTGGGGAGGCTCCAGTCTTATAAGAACTCAGACAGAATCAGGCCAAATAAAAGTGTTTTAGCACATGTGGGAGAGAGAGAGAGCTTATTCATAAGTTCAGAAGAAAAAAGCAAAGGCTGAAGTTTGCTGGCCCCCTCCAAAAAAAAAACAAAACTCCGTGCAGAACATGGATATAGAAAAATTACAGGTTCAAACACCACAAATACACTGGTCACAGTAAAAAAGAAATGAAATCTACATAAACACAAATTAGAAAGGACGATATGAGTCTTTTCAGGTACATACACACACACACACGCATGCACACACACATTCTGAGATGGTGGTGGTGATTAACTGAAACTGATAAAACTAATGTACTAAAAAATGCAAATATGCTGAGAGAGATACTTAAGAATTACATTGATTTTCATCAGTGAAAATGAATTTCCTTGTGTAGGTCATCTGCTAATGAAACCAGTTTAAGAGATTAAGGTCAATTATCAGAAGCAGAAGACATATTTTGTTCTATGAAATAAATGGGATGAATTTATGGCAGTGTACACGATCCAAGCACAAATAAAATTTAGCTGAAAGAATCCAATAAAAAAGCATATTTACTGTACTATTTCTCTTTTTTTAATAGCACGATTTATGATTCTTAAGAGTAATGCAAAATTGGTTTGATATTGGTGCTTTGGGGAAATCAGGTTATTTGCTTCATTTACTTCCAAACTTTACAATGATGATAAAATTAAAACAACTTCAGCTAATAAAGTTGTGTGTGAGTGTGTGCGTGGGTGCTATTTTCAGGAGTGACTAGAAACAAAAGCAAATATACAATGTGTAGATGAAATGTAAATGCACATTTTAGTTATAAAGCAAAACTGTCTGCATGGAGATCATGACTAAGCATTGCTCAGAGAAGGAAAAACACATGCTTCCAAATTTTTTTACTGCCCCTTCGCCCACACACTCAGCCCTCCCTGCTCTCCAAGTGACTGAGTTTCTTTTCTACACAGCACCCCACCCCAATTCTTCCCAACTCCTCAAATCAAACCTACCCGACCATGGAGCCTGAGCCCTTCCTGTACATCATGGGCCGGAAGAAGATGATGGATGCACAGTACAAGTGCTATGACCGCATGGAGCAGCTGCCCCCGTACCAGGGAGAAGGTAACAAGGGGGTGGAAGCCAACATGCCTGATGCATCGTGTGAGATCTCTTGCTCCTGTGGATAGATGTGTGCTGAGTCACTTCCACGTAACAAGCTGGCTGTGCTCACACTGTGACGTGTTTGCATGTTTCCTGCAGCGGATTCACCTGGTCTCTCTGCTCAGGTTCACCTTCTGCTGCTTGGCTAACGTCTGCCCTTGTGACAGAATTACCGCAACTTCTCACATTCACAGCTGGGAGCAGGCAAAATGCAGAACCGGGGAGGGAGGGAACATGGAAAGGGCAGAGGGGAGCTGGAAACACTGAGGTGGGCAGAACACTGAGGAGGAAGCTCTAAAGACCCGTCTTGTCCAGATTAGCCAGGCTGCATCTTCCCCCAGCTGCCTGCTGGCCTGGCAACCCATCATACTGCTTCTTCTCTACCCTCAGTCTCCAGGAGAATGAGAAAATGTCTCCTGGGTATACAATGCCTCCTTGTCACCTGCCCCAGAATGCCCTTTGGTTGCCCAGTGGGTCAGGTCCAGGCATGTTCTGTTAGTGGCTGAGGGCCCACAGGATATGAAAAGGAAGAAATGGCAGCCAGCAGGGAGGTGTCCATTTAAATCTCTTCCCTGTTCCCTAAAACATTTGAAGGATTCAGAAAGGTCATGCACAACCTTAGACGTCCTAAGGCAACCTTACGTGGTAGAGAAAAAAGCACAGTTTCATAGACTCTGTTACTACACATGCTTTGCTTTCAGATAGCTAGAGTGTGTAGTTCTCATTTTTAGCAATCTTCCTTGAAACAAAATCCAGTCTGTTGGAAGGCAGACACATGAGAGTCTTTTGCCTGCCACAGCCCCGTGTTTATCAAGAGCGACCAGGCATTAGATGCAACTCTGACCAAAGCAAAATCCATTTATATGAAATCAATAGAGGCAATAGAAACACAAAACTGGTATTTTTAGTGAGTGCTGTTTCCTTCACTATTGTCTTAGTCTCCTTAGGAAGCTGAACTTTTGTGCAAGGATTTTTATTTCTTAAAAAAATAGTGATTTTTAAAACAATAATTTTTGAAGAGAAGTTTCTTCAAAACCCGAGACTGATTCTCCTGAACTCTCTATAAAGGCAAATCTTCATGTTTTAGGGTATATTTAATTTTTGAAAATGGTGTAAAATCACTTGGAATGATTATATTTAGTGATCAAACAGCATTACTTTAGTCGGTAACAAACAGTGATTCTAAAGCCATAGGACTGTTTTTTATGCACTGGCTGCAAATGCATCTTCAATAGGAATTGTGAACAATTTCATCACCCTTGGATTCAGTCTAGAACTACTACCAGGTAACCCCTTTGAAGGTTAACAATCAGTAGAAACTTGATGTTTCAAAGCCTTATAGGTTTTTGCAGGCAATACTTTGTCCAGAGGAAGAATTGCATAGACTTCCACCGGAGTTCCCTCACAGCATTTCTGAAAATATCTTGAAGGAAAAGCTTTTGGAGGAAAGATTGCACATTCATGACATGTAGCTTTTGAAGAACAAATGGAGAAAATCCTACAAAAATGTAAATTACATTAGCAGCAGGTGAAGTTAATATATTTATTTTGTTGCCACTGCTGCTATTGTTCTTTTTAATATCTTCATATCCAAGTGGAAATTCCCAGAAGATATGCTCAAATTTCACCTCTGCACTATTAAATTCTGCTGAGAATTCCACAGTTTCTGACACCTTTAAGTTGCGTCTTAATTGTCTAATTTAACTCTGAATTCCCAAATAAAACATTTAGTCATGAGAACCAGACTGCCATGGACAATTCCCTGAGAAAATTCAGTTACCTCTTGTCAATTCCTAGACTTCATTGTTTACAAGTAAATAAATGCAGAATTAACTTAAAGAAAAGATTGATTCAATGACAACCTTCGAAAAATTTATGTGAGAATATTCCTGTTCTTCAAATTTGTTTCGAGAGTTTAAATAATTAAATGGTGTCTTGAATTTTGTCAAGTAATGAATGCTGTCATAGAATTGTTAGTCACATGTTTACACTGATAATGGTGGAAAAACACAGCATGTCTTCTAGAAACTGCAAGACTTACTATTCTAAATCTAATTCCCTGGTTTGTTAATTTTAAAAAGGATAAAAATTCATGAAGTAAAAACTTACCAACATACTCCAAAACCCATTTGGTTAATAACCAACCTATATGTCAGATTTAAGTTCTCACTTAGAATTAAATAAATGGAAAGCAGAAGAAAATGCAACTTGAGGCAACTTGCTTTCTGATATGCTCATGTAGGAAACTCTTTGTTGATGCAGGTGGAAGCCTAGGTCTCGCCTGGCATCCAACGAGATAATCTGGTCACAGATACACTAATGTTGTTTGAAGCTTCATTTCCAAAATATAAGACTTTGGCTTACTTAAAATACATGACCATGACTGGAGTGATGGGTTCAGCTACACATAAGACTGTTTGGGGGTTGATCTTGTTAAATCTACGTGGCCTCATTGCTAACTTCCTTCTGCATGGCCAGGCCCATACTGCAACCGCACCTGGGATGGATGGCTGTGCTGGGATGACACACCGGCAGGGGTCCTGTCCTACCAGCCCTGCCCCGACTACTTTCCGGACTTCGACCCAACAGGTATGTGTTGCCATTGTACATGCTTGCAAGGAGGCTTTTGAAACCTCCATTGTTCTGGAAGAAACATGAGATATGAATGTGACTACCTAATCTCCCACGTTCTGGCACACTCTGAAGCATCACCTAACTGAAACATTCCTCATCTGCACAAATTTGCACACCATCCTGGTTTCTTCAGTCATATCACTGGTCAGCTGTGCATGTTGGTACTACATTCTGGTTTATGTGATTCGTTTTTCTAAAACTCTGTGAATAGTCTTATTTCAATGTGAGTGTTTCTTTTTAAATTCCTAGTTGTCTTACACTTGGTGATATGTACATGCGTGATCCAGAGTTTGTACATACTGGGCTGGGTGTAACACGTACCATGAAGATTATAGATAATTTTGAAAGTTATATAAAACTGTCACGTGTGAGGGAAAATAAACCAGGAAGTGGTGACTCTGTACCACAGACTTCTGTTCTGACAGCAGATTATGGAGATGTGCTCACAAGGACTCCTGCTGTCATCACGTGTCACGCCTGTGTCACACTAGCACCAGCGCTGTACCCAGCTCAGCATGGGCACCCTCAAATGTGTATTTAGTGGGTGGCGCCAACCTCACTGTAGTTATGGAAGTTACATGAAAATGCTTTTCATTCAGGATCACTGCTTGCTTTTCAGGATCTTTTCCTGCACGTTATCTCCTTTTATACAGACATTATTTGAAATAAAACTGCAAGTGAACTCAGCTTTGTTGAGCCCTCCCTAACCCTCTCTGTACCATTAAGTACAATAGTTTAGAAAACCATTTACGAAACAGTATTTCTCAATCTCCATCCAAACTGGTGCAAATGGAAGAACTTTTGGAGGGCTGAATGGAGGACACGCTATTTAGGCCTCAGTCTTGCCACAGTGCTGAGGTTGGAAGTTGGGCCGGGAAGCTCACATCAGATGGAGGTCTAGAAGAATCAGGTCTAGGAGGATCAGAGGAGGGAGATGCAGGGGCCTGGAGTGATAATGTGTTTCAGCCTATCAGGCATCCAAGAGGTGGGTGACCTGGAGTGTAGGCTGTTCCAGGTCGGTGCTCAGGAGCAAAGCAGAGGAGTGTGCATGCATAGTGTGGTGGACTCATGCCAGAGAGCAGGTGGTGTGTGGGCTAGAGCAGGTGCAAGCAGTGAGTGCATGAGTCTCACTTTGACTGAGAAGCAGGAAAACATTTTTAAAAAAAGCTTAGTTCCACCCAGAGATTCTGACTCCGTTGCTTTGGAGTGCAGCCTGGACATTGGAATTGTTGAAGTTCCGCAGCCCAGATGATACTGTAGTAAACAATGGGAAAATAGTCCCCAGTTCCATGGAGGCTCACTGAGTGCATGAGCCGTATGCCGGTGGGAGGCAGAGCACAGAGTCACATGAGACTGACAGGAAGGTGGCTCCAGGGATAAGAGGTGGTTGCAGTGAGAAGAGGTGGACAGCGAGAAGGAATATGCTAGAATATAAAAAGCAAAGTTTAGCAAGGAAGCATCACATCTCTGCTTGGAGTCAAATGATCAATGTTATGAAACTTTGATAGTCCAACTATGGCTTAGGACAGTGATTCTCAAGCCTGATTGCCTTAGGAATCAGGGAGCTTTTAAAAAATGCTGATGCCTGGGCCCTTTCCAGATCAACAGAATTGGAATCTGTTCCCCGTGTGATGTGGCATGTATATTGTGTTGTGCTCTTCACAGGTCAGCTGGTACCCAGAGCACCTGAGCGAGGGGCAGCCGCATTGGGCATGTGCAGAGTCTCAGACTGTGAGGGGTCGCACTGGGGCACCAGCCACTGGGGAAGTTCAGTTTGAAAAGAGAAGACTCGAGTAAACACCATTCTTTCTCCCCTTACTGAAGACTCATTACGCGAGGAAGGATGCAGTCTTATAGCTGCAACAACGAAAACTGAGAAACTCTGACACCCAGACTCTAGTTCAAACCAGACAGAGCGTGCTGCTTCCTGCAGTCGGGGCCGTGAGTGAGCGGTGTGAACATCTACAGGAGGACGGGAGATGCCTCCCCTCCTGCATGCCACATACTTTCTCATGCATGGCTGCATAACTTGGGTTAAAACCAAATTGTATTCACATTAATTTAAAGAAGTTACTTTCTGACAATCTGTCAAAAATGAAACGTGGCCACTTTTTAAATCTGCAGGAAGCTAGGAGGGGTTGTCACTGGTCAACAGCGTTAACAGAATCCTCGACCAATTGTTGATGTCAGTTTTCGTGCTGAGTGCAGACCTTTTCAAACACTGTAACAGTGTCACTCTAAATAGGTTTCATTCAATGTTTATCTCAGTAAATTCAGTTTCAAATTTTCCTATTTAACCTAAAGATTTACATAAAACAGGAATGATTCTAATCAGTTGCCTGAAAAATCTTTTGCTTGGTAAAATGTTTTTTCATCCATTTTAAGTAATTGTTGGAGTAAACATACAAACATATAAACAGCTCTATGTCCTGCAGTTGAAATCTTGCATTTACTTTGGTAATATCTGTTTCAGTCATACAATAAAAATTATAAATTTTGTCCCCAAACTGCCAAAAATAAAAGGATTTTTGTACTAGTCCATAGCAGATTGATTAATCAAATGTACTGATAGAAAATTATTTTAAATATTGTCAAATCTCAGTTCTGCCAAATACGTTTTTTTTTTTTTTAGCAAGAATTATTCCCTCAGCCTTTAAAACAATGGCGGTGACCTCCACATATTAGTATATCATTCTGATTTCCATAACCCTGTGCTAAAAAAGAAAACTGCTAAATATGAAAGGGTCACCCATAAGCACATCGATTTGCCTTTGTCAACACATAAAAACACTCCAAAGACATTTTCCCCAAAAAATTATCAGAAATTGAAATGTGATGGGGATTCCACATGCACTGATAGACTTGCCACATATTATACTGTGCAGGGCTGCTGCTTGGTCTGGGGCAATGAACACTCTACAGGCACACTCTGGAGTCTGTGGGCTACCTGAACAGCTCAGATTAAACGTGGCATGTATATTCATTGTCACGTTTACTTACACATTGCTTCTATTTTGCTTAATCCGATCTGTTGTTTTTTTTTTTTTCTCTCCCAATGGCTTAGCCAATTGGGAGATCAGAATATAAATACTACTTTGTAGACAACATTATTTATAATTCTTTAAGTCATTGGAATAGAGTATGGATAACCCTGAACATTTATAGGATTTCACATTCTGGAATCCAAGTACCAAATCAAAATATTGTAGACCAATATCAGAATAACAAACAGAGGGTTGTTTTCTTTTTTAGATAATCCAGGCAAATTTTAATTCTATTCAAGTACCATTTCTGTTGTTTCTGACAATAGTCTGGCTTTGAAATGTGCTCAACCTGCTGGTGCTAATGTCTGATAAATATTCTCACCTTTCTGGCCACTTGTCATCTATCCCCCTCCCCAGTGTATGTTGCTGTAATTGTTAAACTTGATTTCCCAACCTTACACACTTTACTCAGAACCTCAGATAGGTACTCAATTGAGAATCAAGCAACGTACAGGACAAAGGAAAGTTTTCTTATTTGTTTTTAAGACAGAGCACTCGGTGAGGGTTTGGCATATTGTAAGCTATCAGATGTTATTTTTTTTAATTATTGCAGTTATCACTGCTTACTATTTTGGTGGAGATTCCAGCAGAGCTCATGGGTCATCTCCAGGAACTTATTGTTTCTATTGAGTCTGGAGTGTTACTTGGTGCAGGTACATGGACACTACCAAAAAAGTTAAAGTTCACAAATCGCCAAGCCTTCATGGTATGGCATCAACACTGAATGGCAGATAAAAATAATAGAAAAAGGTAAACCTGGTGGGAACTCCGGGCCACCACAGAGCCAGAGCTTGGAAAGGTCCTTTTCCTCCAGAAAACCTTCCAACAGCTCTTGACCCTGAGTGACCACAGACCCACCAAGACGCCGGCAGGACGGTGGTGAGATTCCCATCCCTGCTCTTCTTAGCTAAGGTGCATTCCTCAGAAGGGTGGCCAAGTCAGCATTGCCTTTTATTTCTATGCCACATCCAGATCCCAGGTGCCACACCCACCCTCTCTTTTTCCCAGGAGCACCTGAGTCTTGTTACCGAGGGCATGGCAGTCGCACACACCTTTGACCTCTGAGCAGTTCCAAGGAGAGGCTAATGCTGGGCTCCCAAACCCTGCCGGCCCTTGGAACCAAGTGGGCCTGTGGGACCCCTGGAGGTGCTGACTGGGGCTATGGGAGTGAAATTTACTTAACTCCTGTGAGCCTCGGTGCCCTTATATGTAAAGTGATAAGATCAGTGCCCACCTGAAGGTCATAATTAACAATGAGAGAGGCAGTTCTACACAGTGCTTACCCCAGTGTCTGGTCAGCAACTGAGGTCAGTTCTTGAGGTCAGATCTTGACTGTGCCAATCCAGAGGGGCAGGATTTCACCCACTGGCACCTAAGAGCTGTTTGAAGGAGCAGTGAAGGCCAAAGTCAGGAATCCCAGTATGTTTTCTGTGGAGTGAGGAGAGAGGATTCAAGGGAATTCTTTTGAGAGACAGAAAACAACTTCTTGATATATCCTTTACTTAGAGACTACTTTGTCCTGTTAGATTTGACCACATGAGTTGGCAATGTTTAACCATCTGATCCTCAAAAACTGAAGCTTCATAAGTCAACCTAATAAAAAATTCACGTGTAAATGAAGAGAGGTGTGGTCTTCTTCTTCTCACATGGTTTCCAAGGATAATAAAAAATGTGATGTTTGTTAAAAATATGAGGTAGTATAGAGGCGGTGCTTTGGAGCTGACCCAAATCCACAGCTTAGGATTTAAACCCTGGTTCTAGCCTGTGGCTCTTCCAGCTCCATCACCCCTTGCTGTCTACTTCCCGTTTGATGATGGAGCTGGCAGTGCCTGTCCCCAGATCTGCTGAAGAGGAACAAGATGAGACATGCTAAGACACCGTATATCACACGTGACTCATGGCCATCTCTATCGACTTACACTCACATTCAAGTTCTGTCGAGTGAATGACATGGCAGGATGACTTTCAAGCTTTAATTTATTGTTTTTCCTTCTTAGAATTTTGAGACATCAATGTAATAACCGCTATGTTTCCTTAACAGAAAGGGTTACGAAATACTGTGATGAAAGTGGCGTTTGGTTTAAACATCCGGAGAACAATCGCACTTGGTCCAACTACACCATGTGCAATGCCTTCACTCCTGAGAAACTGAAGGTAGGCCCCATCTCACACTTGGGGCCGGGGAGAGTGCCACATCTGCCTGTGGAAAGGGGTGCGTACTGTGAAGTATCCACTCCCAGGAAGGCAGCAGATTTCACGGGAAGAAGCCATGCGAGGCCTGTGTGTTCTAGGGACTCTTCAAAGTGGCATTAAAGAAAAGGACACTTCGCTTCGTGGTCCATGGGTGGGCTACAAGCATGTGGAGCCTGTCCCTCTTGGTAGAGGACACAGTGTCCTCAGGGCAGATGGCAGGGCTCCTTGTGGTGCCAGACATTAGGCAGCATTTCAAGGGACTTGCTGACATCTCTTTTCTCCTGGAAGAGTTCCAAAACTGCAGATTTTCCCACAGGTCACACAATACCAGTTGCCACCCCCATGATGGCCATGACCTCGATTTTACCAGCAGGACTTGAAAGAACTCTAAGTAGGGAAATAGAGTCACAGAAACCAGCCCCTGGGCTCTCCCCACCATTCACTCCATGCTGAGCCAGCTTGATTCAGAACGTCCATCTCTGTCCTGCCTGTTCTGTGGGGAGACACACCCATTGTCCATGAAAAGACCCGGGAAGTTAAAACCTGCCCAGCTCACTCACTGGGTTAAGGGATGAGCATTTTTATTGCATATTTATTTCTGAAATCTATTTTTGAATGACATTTAATTCATCTCAAAAAGATTTATTCTTTGAAAATAGATCAATTTATTTCCATAAAAGAACATGAGTGAAGATGAAAAGTAATTTCATTCTCTGAAATATTTGTTATAATTTTAGTAGATTTATTAAAGTAGAAAAGCACTTTTTGATTTAGAAAAAGACCCTGTTTTCCTCTGATGAATAGTTTGCTCACCTTCTTGCCTTCTGACTCTCATTTGTTCCAGAGTGCATACGTGCTGTACTATCTGGCGATCGTGGGTCACTCGATATCGATTTTCACCTTGGTGATTTCCCTGGGGATCTTCATGTTTTTCAAGTAAGTGCCCTTACAGCAGCTGGGGTTTATTCTCTCCTTTAAGTCACTGAAGTACATGGCAGATTCGGTAAGGGTGGAGTGGAGGAGGATCACCTGCAAATCACAACGCATGCAGCCTCAGGAGACACGAAGCAGCAGGGAAAGCGACATGAGTTGAGCATGACTTTGAACTCTAGCTTTGAGGTGAATAGGATGGACTTGCCTCACTTTCAAAGGCACTGTGCCTTCTTTCCAGAAAGATGGTTCCCTTTGCCAGTGGGAATGTGGCAAAGGTTCCACTGAATACAGAGAGGGATCCCCCTTCTTACACCTACCCTAATACTCGGAGACAGAGCCCCAAGTTCAAGTGCACAACCTAATTATGAACTGAGCCACACATGGGTTTTTCCAGAGGAGAAAGGGCTGGTGGAATCATGACAGTGTCAGTCAGGGAGGAAGGCATGCCCTGTGTCTCTTCTGGCCTTGACTCACTCAACCAGTCTCGGGAAGAAGAATCTCGGGAAGAAGATGGCCCGGTGTCTGGTGTCAAACCTAGCACTGTTAGCCACAATTATCTTCTAAGACACCATGAGGAATAAAATTCCAGTAAGGGTTTCTATTCTGAGTCTGTGTCTATACCCTTGATTGCATTGTTTATGGCAAATGATTAAGCTGATACAGATAATGACTTCATAATAATAAATAATGTAAGATGTTGATTCCATTTTTTCTGAATTACTTTATAAAGTATGTGAGACAGTAGCATGTGGCTCTATTGAGATATTTCCTAAATGTGGTGTTATTTCTTCTTTTTTTTCCCTTTCTTTTTTTGCATTTTGTTCTTACTCTGTGGCACAGTTACAGCTCACTGAAGTCTTGAACTCCTGGGCTCAAGCAGCCCTCTCTTCTCAGCCTCCTGAGTAGCTGGGACTAGGTGCGTGCCACTATATCTGGCTAATTTTTGAAAATTTTTGCAGAGAAGAGATCTCACTATGTTGCCCAGGCTGGTCTTGAACTCCTAGGCTAAAGCGATTCTTCCACCTCAGTCTCCCAGAATGCTGGGATAACAGATGTGAGCTACCATGCCCGGCCCCTGGTGTCGTTTCTTTAAATCAGTGACATGGGCACTGCATTACTATTTCATGAGAATTCTGACCAGCTTCTACAGTAGCATAGTATCTCCTTCTGCTTGTATTTCATACTGTCCTGCTCCTGGAATTTGAATCTTTTATATTCTGTTAGGGAGCATGAGATTGACCAGGGAAGGCTTGGTACTCTGTTTGTTGTCCAGTTGGGGTGGGAGGCATGTCACTCCATAGACTTCCCAAAAGACAAAGGGACTGCTTGTTTTGTTCCTGCAGACCACTCCTTTATCAGAGATGCTTATTGCCATTGTGCTAATTTAGGTCATAGTCAACAATCTCTAAAGCCAACATTGATGAAACAACCTATGAAAATGGTGTAGGAATAAGGAACACATATAAGCACAGCACGTGTAAGCACATCAGAGCACATCTCTGCCAAACCTACTTTAACTGATGCCTGCCTTCCGGTTTATGGTGCACAATTATACTAGGACACAAAATATGAGGAAACATACGAAAAACAGATGAGCACTTCAAAGAATCTTGTTATCTTTCAGTGAATGTAAAATAAGATTTTTACAGATAAGTGTACATTCAAATTAGAAAGCATTATACATGTTTTCATCACAGTAAACTTCCTGAAAAGAACGTACTCATGGCATAGCCCTAAACTAGCTTTCTGATGTCTAGTCACAGACAACTAACCAACATGTGGCTCCTTTACAGCGCACAACAGTGCAGTAAAAAATGTTGGAAACTGAAGTGAATCAGAAGTGAAATAATGGTGTCTGACACATACAAAGTGAAATGCAAGTGCTAGATATGATTATTGCCACCATAATAATTATTATTGGTAATAGCAATAACCATGGTGGTGTTATACAAATGATAAAGAAAGCCGGGCTCGGTGGCTCAGCCTGTAATCCCGCGTTTTGGGAGGCTGAGGTGAGTGGATTGCCTGAGCCTGCGGGTTCAAGACCTGCCTGGGCAACTTGGCGAGACCTCATCTCTACCT